TTCGAGTCGAGTGTTGACCGAGTTTTGACCGAGTCGATTTCGAGTAGCTCGCAAGTTGTTTCGTCTCATTTACACCCATAGTTCCCAGCATTACGTCATAAATATGACACCATATTTAGTGTTTTGGTTTCTTAATTAAACCTTATTATCACTAATTAATTAATTGGTTGTTTAGATCCCAACAAGTCAGCCGCCGCGTCATACCGTGTGAACTTTATCCCTTTAATGCAAACAACTTCAATTAATTCCGTCCTTTTAATAATAAAACGATGATTGTGATCGTATGAAAAAAAATCTCATAACGACTATGTTAATAAGTTATATTTACGTAAAATTACTTGTAATCTTAAATTTTAAGTAATATTTATTAATAAACAGTCCTTCATACATAAAAAATGATTTTTTATAATTTTTTATCAAATACCTTATAATGTAGTATAAATAATATATTATATGGACGATGTTTACCGACCCCCCCTCCCTCCCCTCCCCTCCCCTCCCCTCTCTCTTTCATTTTTAACCCTTGTAATTTCTATTTTCATATTTCTCTATCATACCTCTTATTTTTTTTTTTAATGTAGTTTAGTTAACATATGATTAAATATGTTAATAAAATAAGTGTGTAAAATAAAAAATGAAAAAAAATATATGAGAATATAAATTAAATAAATAACTATAAAGGTATAAAGTGTAATGATATGATTAATCCAAAAAAAAAATTCAATAATGAACTCATTTTGAGGGTATCGATGAGACGATTATAATAATGTAATTTGTATTAAGATAATAACATATTTTTATTTTTAACATATTTTAGTTAATATACAATTATGTATTTAATATGATAGCGAGGGATGTAAAGCAAGTTAAGTAAGGGGCTGTTTACTCAAATAATTACACGGTAAGTGCTTACCTATAGAATTCAACACTATATTTTATTTTGATGCGTAAGATTTTAGTACATCAAAACTTATTGAATGTAACAATTTACAAGGTAAGCGTTTACCTGGATAAAATTTGTCATCTTCACTTACCGAGTACGACTTTTCATAATTCTCATCACTTTTACTCAGTAGGATCATGAATAAATATTCCACTAATTTATATTGTATTTGAGCACATCATTCCTATACTTGGAATATTTTCAATGATGGTGTACGGAAAATCTATTAATCCTTTTTAAAAAAGAAAGACTTTGAACTCTTTACTTATCTTCAAGGAGAGAGACAAATATCATTCTGTCCCCAAAAAAAGACTTTTTTAATACCTTAAAAAACATTTTTTATTATAGATTTTTTTTAACAACATAATAAATTTAAAATTAAAAGTTAAAAACAAAAAAAATGATATTTACAGAATTTAAACTCATGTCTAAGGTAGAAAAATAATTTTACAAACCAATTTTACCAAAGAAAACTTAAATCATCATTGTAGTTTCAAAATATATAAGATGATACACAACAAATTGATACAGTGACATTTTTCATGACCCTATAGTTTTTTACACTACGATGAAAGAACGAAACAGTAGCCCCTGCCACTGTATCCAATAGATAGAGTTCGCCCCTGAGAGTAAGGCAAAAGCCTTCGATTGTTCCCCATTAAATCATCTCAAATAAATTAATTGCACAAATAATCCAACACTCTTTCTTTACTTCCCACAAACCCATCGGGTCTCCGTTCATTGTATAAAATAAACAACCCTCACGTCCAATTAATCAAACATGCGATCACCTTTTTATTTTATTTTTTTTAAACTATACCAAACCAAACCAAATAAAGTGTTGTTTACTAAATGCTTATCTGGGTAAGCGTTTATGAAGCCATATTACCTTACCGAATCAATATGGCAAGAACCAAGAATCTTACCCGTTAAGAGTGAAGACGAGGACTGAGTTTCTTACCTGGTAAGTGATGACGACGACTCTTACCACGGTTAGCACTTACCAGGATAGTAGTTGCATACGATACCGTTTTGATGAACTAAAATCTTATTCGTTAAGTAATTAATAGTTTTTATTTTTCTGATAAGCAGTTATCCGGATAAGCAGAGCCGGTCCCAAGATATTTGATGCCCTGTGCGAAAATAATAAAAAATGCCCTTAAGTCTACTTTTTTTAAGTCAATGAAACAACGAAACATGCGATTTTTTAAAAAGTTTAGAACCTATTCAAGCTAAGTATCTCATCTTAATGTTGAATTTTATTAATTATAATAAAAAAAAATACAAGGGGGGGGGGGGACACAAAACCCGAAACCCTGAATACAAAATATAAAGAATAAAATTTGGATTAAGATCATGTTTCCTTCTTTTCCAATTTAAAATTAGCAAAATAGAAACATTATTTCAATATATGAGACTTAAAAGACAAGGAAAACTATAATTAGTTTTTAACTAAAATAGTAAATCATATCTAAATTACTGTTATAGTAAGCAAAAAGTAAAACTTAAAAGTTACAGGTCTAACGACTAAAGGCTTATCTGTTAGCAGCTTAATAAGTTTAATGGAACTAACAACTTATTCGCTCAACTATGCATGACTGTTTCGTAGTGGCTTAATAATATTGAAGGTAACTTATCCAGTAAGCTTCTAGGGGAGCTTTATATAGAAAGCCAAGTTTTTTTTTTCCAAACATGTCCCTTCCAACCAAAAAAACACTTCTTACATCTGCAAAAAAAAACTCTCTCAAACAAAAACTTTTCCAACTTATACAAACAGATTAATTCATATAGACAACTTTATACAAACAAAAACTTTTCCAACTTTCCAACTTTTTTCTACGATGTGCATTCAGTTTTTATCACTACTAGGCCTTGAGTCTGTTTTTATAATTAAAGTTCAATTGTCCAATTCCCAAATTATTAAACTCAAAACTAGTAATAAATGACAACTTGATGCCCTTTTAGGCTTTGATGCCCTGTGCGACCACACGGGCTGCACGTGGCCGGGGCCGACCCTACGGATAAGTGTTGGTAAACAGCTCCTAACTTAAGGGGAGTGCTAATGGCACCACCTTTGATGTCAGAATCAGGTCATTCAAGCATTGAGAATGTAAAAAACATATATTGATTTTGATGTGTGTGAGAAAGAAATTCATGGATAGGGATGTATTAAGCAATACATAGGAGTGCATTTAGCCCACCCCTAACTTAAATATAACCTATTCAGAGGTAAAGGTAGAGGTCTCTCAAAACACATGCAGATGTGTCATTTATGACGAAATCTGTAAATTGCAAAAAGTCTTAAAAATTTAATAAAAGCAATGGGCACCACCATTTCATTTCTCTTTATATGTATTCTCTTACAATCACTGTCTTTATTTGGGAATTTGTTGACAACAGAACAAAGTCGAGATAGGAAATTGATACAGTAATGGAAATATTCACAAAGTATCAAAATCTTTAATATTACTTTTACTATCTTCACACATACCATCTCTGGAGATGAAGCCTCTGTTCAGAATTCCCGAATATAAGAAGAGAACTGGAAAAGGGGGATGAAATGCAGCAGCAACAGCAACAGCAACTGGAATCGGATTTCTTTGATTTTGTTGGAGTTCTCACATCCCATATACATAGTAGGGAGSGRMATAGTAATTATAGTAGTACTGGTAAGGATGAACTTCCACAGTTGCCTTCGTTTCTTTGACCTCGGGTTTCTTCTCTTCCACCGGACCAACACTCACCAGCTCTGTGTATCCTACGCCTTTCCTTAGCAAAGTCGTCAATTCCACCGAGTCGATTCCTTCACCTGTCACTGCGATCTGGTCTTTATCTGATCCCACAAATGATGCCGATTCAACACCTGTTTATCAAWTTTCAGACTATGATTTAGTTAAATAATTCAACCAATTAGAATTCAGTAGTTCAGTTTAGATTTATTTTAAAAAATAAATCCAGATCACACCGGTTTTTAAAAATAATAATACATGAATGTTTTTCATCCTCAATACAAATCAACATCGATGTTACGAAAGTTAACTTTGTCAACAATTTCCTCTGGAATGGAATCTGTATCCTTCGATGATCGATCAGAGGTGTTCAATTCGTTTCAAATTTAAACTCGAAATGTGGAATGAAGTAGAAAAAGCAATTCAACCGAGACAAATTACGGAAACTGATCTTACCGCATAGACTAACGGCAATTTTCAGAGCCTTGCGACTTTTCTTCTCGCTGTTCATGGTCACCTTCACCACAATCTTTTGCTGCAAATAGAATCAACCATACAGAGTGAGATTAACCGATTCAAATAAATGCAAAACAGAGTGAATTTTAATTACTAAACAGATCTATACCTTCGCCATTTCTGTGAATTTGATGATCTGATTGTATTTGTTTTGGACCGCCTGAGAGTCTCTAGAAACTGGAGAATGAGAGGATTTGAAAATGGTAGTTTGAAAAGTGAGAATGGAATTGCAAAGATTTTATAGACCCCATGAAGTTGAGAGGGCAGTTGATGACGACGACGACTACGTCAACGCCGTGGGAAGGAAGCTTCCCACTGGTACCTTAACGACTAAATAATTAAATATTTAACTTAATTATATGTTTTTTTTCTAAATAATAAATATTTATATAGAAAATTAAATTCTAATTTCTATCAAATTAATCGACCATGACAATACGCATATAATGTATATGACATTTTTAGAGAATATAATGACTGATTGTTAAATTAATTGGGCGGTAGGGTTGTTTTCCACTGTGAATAAGAGTTATGGTAAGGACCATGGATGTAAACAAACCGAGTCTCAGCTTGAAAAAATAATATCAGGTCCGTGTTCGATTAACTTTTTCAAAATTGGGTTTGAGCTCGAATATTTTTCAGTGTTTGGGCTCGAGTTCGAGCTTGGTGCTCGTTTTATGAGCTCGAATTTGAGATCGATTAACTCGTTTATTAATCAAGCTCAATAGTTTTTATATATTGAACATATAATATGTAAGTATATAAATATATTTGGCTTGAAAAAGTGCATGATCGAATGACTCGGCTTGACTCGTATATCGAGTTTTCGAACGAGTTAAATAGTCAAACATTGGTATTACGGAGTTCGACTCGTTAAGCTAAACGGGCATTATTTTGCGTTTGAGATCAACATGATCGAGCTCGATAAGTATTAAGCTCAAACTCGAGATAAGCGAGCTCGAATAACTCGTTAAAAGCTTGACTTGTTACACCCCTAATGAATTATTTTATGTTTGAATAAAATAATTCAAATGAATGCAACAAATATATCTGATTTTTCTGAATAACTGAAACAAGTGTTCTTGTATCGTAAAAATATAAGTTGTATATATTTATTTAACTAGAAGGGTACTCGCGCAATGCAGCGAGATACATCTCGATTTTAATGTTTCGTTTTATTTTGTCATCCGTCGATGTTATAATACGGTTTTATGTGGTTTTGAGAAAAACGATAATTTTTTTATTTTTGAATAAAATATAAATTTGAAGATATCTTAATTTTTTTTTAAAAACCATATCGATATTAGTATCAAATTAACTATTTAAAAGTTCTTGTTTTGTTGTGTAATTTATTTAATTCAACTTTTTTTACACAATTTAATAATATAATTTTTTAATAAAGATAATAATTAAATATTCTGTTAAAAGATAATGATTATCATAATTAAATTTTAGATTTTTTATGCTTAAAATGAAATGTTTATCTAGTATTTGATCATATTTATCTGTAGTTAGTCACACAAATTCAAGTATGGAGCTTTAATAAATTGTATTCATGCATTATTTGTTTGTGATATTGTATCTTAAGTAATATGTATCAATAAACAGTACTTCATATATTAAAAAAAATATTTTTTAAGAGTTCTGTCAAATGCTTTATAATATAGTATATAAATAATTTACTTTAAGTTTAATAAGAAAGTAATTTATTTTTGATTTAATAATATAACTTTTTATAAATATAATAATTAAATATTCTATTAGAAGACAATAATTATCTTAATTATATTTTACATTTTTTATGTTTAAAATGAAATGTTTGTCCAGTATTTAATTATGTTTATCTGTAGTTATTTACACAAATTCAAGTATTGAGCTTTAATAAATTGTACTTATACATTATTTACTTGTAATCTCGAATTTTAAATAATATAAATTAATAAATAATTTTTTATGTATAAAAAATAGTTTTTATCAAATGTTTTATAATATAGTATTAGATAGGTGATAGGAGATAAAGAGTTGGAATTGTACCCAAGAGGTGTTGGGCCGCCTCAATACCGTGTGAACTTGATTTTTTTTAATGCCAACAACTCCAAAAAGTGGTACTAATATATTTACGTTTTGTCATAATCGATCATTTTTTTATTATTAAATATAAAAGTGAGTTTATGACAAGTTAATATAAAGGTAAGCATGCATGCATCATATACATATCCATGTTTTGGGTGAACATTATATGTTTTTATATAATTAAAAGAAAGGAAAGGTTCGAAAAATCTAAGGAATCATCCAAAATGATTAAATCTCTGAATTATTTTTTTTGAGTATGAAATTATTAAATTCTTTCTTTTTGAATGAAGAAACCATTAAACTTTCTTATTTTGATTTATTTAAATCTCTGAACATTTTTTTAAAATAAATTATAACACTTTTAAAAGTTGGTTACCTAAATCCTTTTAACCCAAAAAAATTATACTAGTAAAAGTTCGATAGTTTATTTTTATTTTTTTGAAAATAAGGGTCTTAATTATTCAAAATATGAAAATTTAATGGTTTTTTAATTAAAAAAATAGTTCAAGAATTTAATAATCTAAAATGAGAAAGTTTAACGGTTTTTTAATTCAAAAAAGATATTTATGTAACCTAGTTAGTAACTTAGTATTCTTCCATTTTCTTTCCTATTTCATTTATAACCTAATAGAGGCTAGCGACCACGACCAGTCTCGAGTCTCTACAGTGACCAACGAGTAGCCACCACGACCAGTAAACAGGATGGCGGCGAGCCGACTACCATGAACCATAAAATCTGGAAATTGAAATCTTGACTGGAGTGAAAATATATATGAAATTGGAAGACCTAAAACACTAGTAGACCTGAAACCCACGGGTTTTGGCAGCAAATATTGGGGTTCGGGTTCCATTTTTCTCACCTGATACCCAATCGGGTTTGTTAGTTTGGGCTCCGACCTGACCCAACCCGTCCACTGCTCACCCCTAGTCAAATATATCGTTTCACCTACAAAACAATAAAAAAATTGGTTTTCATGATTTCTAATTTTTGACAGATTTTTTATTTTATTATGGTAAAAACCCGTTAACAAACATATTTTTATCTTTAAAAATGCAAGATTTGAAGAAAAAAACTGAGTTTGAAAGTTTAATCATTGTTTACGAATTTTCTATAATTTAAATTTTGTTGTTTTCTAAATAATTTTGTTTTTCAAATATAAGAACAAAATAGGATTTGGTTCATGTCGTCATCGACGCCAGAAGGTTCCAGACTTGTAATCCACGGCTAAAACTTATAAAATTTCCCCCCTACTATTTTAAATTCTTCACATACCCTTCAACAACTATAAAATTCTTTAATGTATGATTTTAAAAAGGAAAAATTACATCAAAATGAAACCAACTTGCATCCGATTTTTATTTTTGGGAACTAATTTTCAAAATTCTTATTTAGGGGTCTCTATCAAACTTTTGGTTTGATTTGCCAAATTTAATTTAAACTTTAATATTGATACGGATTGGTTATATATAAAAATCAAGAATTTGATATTTAATATTTATTTTTTATTGCATCAATTAATTTTTTCTATTAAATTGATATTTTTATTGCAATAGTAAAAAACAATTTTTATTGTGATAATTTAGATTTTTTTTGAAAAAAATCTTCAAATTGATATATGAATTTAAAACAAACGAGATTTGAAATAAAAAATAGATTTTATTGCAATAATTTTTGAAAAAAACGAATTTTAGTTATTTTTCTATAATTATTTTGCAAGTTGGTTCCTCAAAATAGGAATCAGGTGCAAGTTGGTTCCCCAAAATGACGATTTTGAAAGTTGGTTTCCCAAAATAAGAATCAGGTGAAAGTTGGTTCCATTTTGGTGCAATTTAAAAAAAAAGATATACGACAATAATTAGAAAAAGTTTATTACTTTCATTCTAATTGTCCAATGGCGTCATCTTCTGTAAAAACAATCCTAGTCTGACTCTTTATAAAATCCTAAAATAAAAAAGCCTTCTCTAAGAATATTGCCTAAGAACACGAAGAACAAAAAGCTTATCTCTTGACATGAGAAGTGAAGAGGATTTGGTTGGTTCTTCAGAGATCGTGGAGTTCATGTGACGAGTTTCTTCGGACAGATAAGTAGTTCTGAAATTTCAAACTTTGTATAAAGTTTCAAAGGTTTAGGTTGTACAAAAATCCAATAAAACCGTTCAATCCAACCTGTCAAAATCCAATTAATCCTAGCCGTTAACACGAGAAACCACCACTTTATAAGAATTCAATTAGGTTATACATATCCCAACCTAACTCAAATACTCGATGCATGCAACACGTCAACTTAACCGATAACTTATAAATTTTGAATGATATATACACACACATATATCGAAAAATAGAAAAAAGACGAATAACCCCTTGTTTAATGGACGGATGCTAACAACCGTTAACGACAGAAACAACAAAATAATTAAAATGCAAATGGCTATATATAGCAACTGAATTTGAAATACCAAAACCAAAATAATAAAAAAGCACATGAAGCAAAACCGAACTTTACTCTATAAGTTATATAATTACACACACCATATTAATCATCATTGACAATGAAGTGTTCCTACAAACTATTTCATTTCTCTTTAAATGAACGTCACCTACAATCACTATTTTATTTAGGAATTTGTTGACAACAGAATTGAGTTGAGATAGGAAGTTGATACAGTAATGGGAATATTCACAGACTATCAAAATCTTTAACATTACTTTTACCATCTCCGGTGATGATGGCTCTGTTCAGAATTCCCGGATATAAGAATGGAACTGGAGAAAGGGGATGAAATGCAGCAGCAGAAGCTTTGATTTGACTTCAATTCTCACATCCCGTAGACATAGTAGGAAGGGACATAGTAATCGTAGTAGTACTGGTAAGGATGAATTTCCACAGTTGCCTTCGATTCTTTCTTCTCCTCTACCGGACCAACACTCACTAGCTCTGTGTATCCTACACCTTTCCGTAGCAAAGTCGTCAACTCCACGGAGTCAATTCCTTCACCAGTCACCGCGATCTGGTCTTTATCTGATCCCACAATTGATGCCGATTCAACACCTGTTTATCAAATTACAGACTCTGATTTAGTTCCATAGTTCAACCTATTAGAATTCACTAGTCCAGTTTAGGTTTATTTTGAAAAATAAATCCAGATCCAATCGATAATAATACATGAATCTTCTTTATCCTCAATCCAAATCAACATCGAAGTTTGAAAAGTTAATTTCGTCAACAATTTTCTCTGGAATTGGAATCTGTATCCTTCGACGATCGATCAGAGGTGTTCAATTCGTTTCAAATTTAAATTCGAAAATGTGAAATTATGGAGAAAAAGCAATTCAACCGAGAGAAATTACGAAAAGCGATCTTACCGCATAGACTAACGGCGATTTTTAGAGCCTTGCGAGTTTTCTTGTCGCTGGTCATGGTCACCTTCACCACAATCTTTTGCTGCAAATAAAATCGATGATACAAATTGAGATAAACCGATTCAAACAAATGCAAAACAGAGTGCATTTTGAATTACCAAACAGATCTGTACCTTTGCCATTTCTGTAAATTTGATGATCTGAATGTATGTGTTTGGATTGCCTGGAAGATTAAGAGGATCTGGAAGTGGAGGTTTGGAGAGTGAGAAGGGAAATGGGAAAGATTTTATAGACCCCATGGCCTTGAGAGGTTTGGGCAGTTGATGAAGACGACGACGACCACGTCAACGCCGTGGCAAGGATGCTTCCCACCAGTAAGTATGTGATAAAAAATGACACGTTATCTAGTTTTTTTTTGTGACTAATTGTTATACATATAGATGCTTTTCTCTGTAGGTGGAGGTTCAAACGAGAACCCCTGTGATTTACGAAAATGCGAGAACAACCCAATAACCTCAAACTTTTTTAATTAATAAATTAACTTTTATTATATATAAATAATTTAATAAAGACAATAATGTAATTAAGTAATTTTTRTAATTTTTATTTTATTTTAATTAACCATAATTATCTTTTCACATTCCACGTTTTACTCTTGGTAGTTATCTTCTTCTTCTTCTCGTTAACATCTTTTCTTCATATCACACATCTATCACATAAGTATCACACTCATATCATATGATTATCACACCCATATTATATGATTACACCAAAATTTTAACTTGTCAACCAAAACGATAACCCAAGTGATGTATAACAGTGATTATCACACCCTTATCACATGATTATCACACCCAAATCACATGATGACACCAAAATTTTAACTTATCAACCAAAACGTTAACCCAAGTGATGTATAATGGTGATTATCACACCTCTATCACACTCATATCACATGATTATCACACCCCTATCACATGATTACACCAAAATTTTAACTTATTAACCAAAACGATAACCCAAATGATGTATAATGGTGATTATCACACCCCTATCACATGATTATCACACCTATATCACATGATTATCACACCTACTATAATCCTAACCTATTTCGTAACCGTTTTACTAGATAATGATAATAATGAGTGTTTAAAAGATAATGATCGTGTTTAAAAGATTTGATGATATCATTTCCATTATTACCCTTTTATTTTTAAAATTTTTTGAATCTTTTTAAATTTAAATTTAAATTTTAAAAATCTTTTAATTTTATTTTTTATCACAATATGAGGTTATTAGGTTGTTCTTGCGTTCTCGTAAATTACAGGGGTTCTCGTTTGAACCCTTCCCTTTCTCTATATTAATAAATATTTACATATATATTTTGTATATTTTAATTTAAAAGAAGAATTTAATTTTATCAACTAAGCGAATATGTAAATACTCATATCATGGCTTTTTGTATAAAAAAATGAGTAAAATATGATTTCGTCTTTGTTGTTTGTTAATAAATTCACCGCATTTGAACCTCCATGACCATAAGAGGATTTTTAATCCTCCTTGGATTTGAATTTGGGACCTTAAGATACTTTTGACATATGAAGATAAGCTCAAACCAATCAGACACCATCCTTGTAGTTATTCTTTTAATCTTTTGGTATAGGTTCAAATTTTATTGGATACAATCTATTTTTCAAATATTAATTTTTAGATTTAAAAATTGAAAAATATGAATGCATGGAATTTATCTGATTTTTTTTGAAATAACCGAAATAAATATCTTTTTACCATAAAATTAAAAGTAAAAAATATAATTTATTTATTTTAATTTATGGAAAAAATTAAAAATATATGAGTGGCATAGATCCCAACAAGTCTCGGGCCACGTCCGTCCCGTGTGAACACCACTTTTTTAACTCCAACAACTCCGAAAAGTTGTAATAAAATATTTAGGTTTTGGTCACAATTGATCATAATATCACGACAGGAAGGATAATTGCACCACATGTATTGTTAAAAGCATTCTGTATTTTTTTTATACATATCAATAATTAAAATTTATTTTTAAATTTTTTAATGTATAATTTGACCCGATTTTAACATTGAAGAAGGTACAGATAACATTACCTTTTATTATTATTATTATTATTATTATTATTATTATTATTATTATTAAGTATAAATGTGAGTTATGGTGATTGGTGAGTTAATCGAGAGGTAAGCATACATCATCGACATATACACATACATACATATATAAAGTAAGGTTCAAACGAGAACGCTAACTACTTAAAAAACTAAGAAAAAGATCGTTAATGTACAAAATCATATGTAATTTTACATTAAACGGAAGCAGACGACTTTTGAGGCCACTTAAGTCGTAGGACAAAAAGTTACGAAGATCATGTATGATTTGTTATATTAACGACATTTTTTTTGTTTTGTTAAATAGTTAATATTATCATTTAAATTTACTCTTTCTTTCTCTCTCTATATATATATTAGTTGGATGTAATTACGTAAATATGTATTGGATTTTATAATTGTATATTTACAAGTTTTTTTTTTTTTTTTTTTGCAATTAAATGAAAGTAGTAAAAAATACCAATAATAAAAAATAGTACCCGTAATTAAAAAAACATGTATTATATTTTATTTCTGTTTATTTATTGAAAATACATCGTACATATATATTTTTGGTGTTTCTCATACGTTATTGTGGTCATGCCGTCACTGTCGTCGAAAGGTTCCAGACTTGCCAAACACGGCTACAAGTTACACAACTGGTCCTTATACTATTTTCAGTCATTCACTTTTGCCCATCAACAACTATAAAGTTTTTGATTCATGAATAATATATAATTGTTTTCCATTTAATCCATCTTTTCATTTAGATTGATATTTTTTCCTCACATTAATTATGATTAAAACTGTTTAATTCATAAATATTAATTTATATATAATTTTAAGTAAAAATATTATAAATATTATTTAATAACAATAAAATACATAATAAATAAATTCATTACTATACCAATACGTTCATCATAATCACTTTATTATCATTCATATAAATTGTAATAATAATTTATTTACTATAAACCATAAAATAATTTTTTGATAATTTTTACAATTATAATAAAAGGTAAAATGTACGAAATAACAACCTAATTTTACAAATGGTCTTATTATATCATTCTATTTTTCAGTTTTTTTTTTTACAACAATTACTTTCAAAATATATTTTATCAGGGCATCGTATTATTAAAAAAAATTACTCATTATAGCATTGGGTAACCTTTTAAATTATATTAACTCGTTATACAAGGGTTTTTTTTCACCTTATCGTCCACGTAGTCTGTCCACGTGTACAATAGTGCTGACAAGATATTTTTATTTATTATAACATCACAAATTTCTATTATAGCATTGTACTTTTAATTTTAATATTTTTATCATTTAAACATTGTAAATTTAATCAAATATATTTACTAAAAATTATAATAAATATTATTTGAGATTATAATATCGTTTTTTTTTATTTTGGTTTTAACATTATAGAGAAAAAAAAAAGAGACAACCATGAGGGTGATGCCTGATCAGTTTGAGCTTGGCTCCAAAAGTCAAAAGTACCTGGAGGTATTAGGTTCAAATCCAAGGAGAAATAAAAATCCCCTTTGTGACCACGGAGGTTCAAACGCGGTGACTCCAGGCGTTTTCTTCAAAGCTGGTGGTCGTCCTGGGATTAGTTGACTTGTATAGCGGGTTGAATATCCAGGTTAATAAATAAATAATTACAAGCATCACCAATATAATTTAATATTATAATTTTTAGTAAATATATTTGATTAAATTTACAATGTTTAAATGATAAAAATATTAAGGTTAGAAGTACAATGTTGTAATAGAAATTGATAATGTTATAATAAAGTAATTTTGAAAGTACAATATTGTAATAAAAGATGTCATGTCAACACTATCGTACATGTGGACAGCCTAGGTGGACGATGAGCTGGCAAAAAAACCTGATATAATAGGTAAATTTAATTTAAAAGGTTATCAAATGCTATAACTAGTAAATTTTTGAAAATACAATACCCTAATAAAAAATATCTTAAAAATATATTATTGTAATAAGAAAAACTAAAAATATAATGTTATAATAAGAAAATTTGTAAAAATAGGTTGCTATTTCACGTATTTTGCAATAAATGCATGGTTAATTATTTAATAAAAGTTTTTTTTGTCTCTTAACGTGATATAATCGAGTACAAATATAACATTGATCTTATTATTTTGAGGCGATCTCTTGATTATTGGGGTTACCGTAACTTGGTGGCTAAATTGAAAAAAATAAAACTTGATGGACTAAAAGTAAGAGAAATAGAAAGACGAAGGTGGAGGTGAAAGTGCAGACGGAGACGGAGATGGAGACGGAGACGGAGATGGAGATGTTATAGAAGACTTTTGAAAACACCGGTCGTAAGTCTTGTGTTAGTCTAATTACGTAGGCCATAGACATAGTAGACCCGGGTGGACAAGGAAGGAAACTATCACGTCTTTGATGGTTTATAGGTATGTATATAAATAATCGTGAAAGCAATCGATTTCATTATTTAATTATTTAAAAAATTTGTTAGATTTTTTAATATAATTAAATTGTTTTAAATAGTTCATTTTGTAATTAATTTTTTTTATATGTTTTTGTTTTTATGTAAAATCAAATTGTTTAATATATTTTTCACTTTGATTATATTTATTAAAAAATAAATAAAATAAAAATGATTATGTCTATAATTAACATCTTTCACAATAAAAATGATTAATCAACCTTTATAATTAAAAAAATAAATATTATAATTATTTGAATAAGGTTTTTATGGTTTGTACGAATGATTTGATTTCTATTTTATCCCTCCCCTACATACATCTAAATGCATTATTTATATACGTATTAATTATATGCATAGACGAATGATTGTGTGAGAAGCAAAGTTAAGGTGAGAAGCGTAATAAGGGATCTAGACCCTTGGTCACCTTTAATCTCAAACTCACCATTGGCTGGATGCACATTAGGTTGAGATGGACCAGATCAATTTCCGTATCAAGCTCGATTCATGGGTGAGTTTGATATTAAAGATGATCAATGATCCGGATCTTTTTTTATGCTTTTCACTTTAACTCTCAATCTCACATTATCCTTTATATATATATAAAGAGAGAGAGAGAGAGATGAGTTCCAGTGAGAATGAAAGTTATGATAAGAAGAATAAAAAGGAATCAACACTAATACAATACACACGAGATGTATCAGATCAATTATTGTGAGAAAGTGCAATTCATAGGTTAGT